TCCTAATTTTAAATAGGGGGGAGGAAAGGTAGTGTTTTTGGACTAACAGTTGACTAAACTTGACTAATTCTAGCCTCATCCACAAAAGTTAATCACATAATTGCAACTCTGGGGCACCAAGTTCTTGGGCATCAAGTTCCTACTATGGTTCCAAATAAAATGCTATCTGAAAAGTCCTCATTGTCAAATCTTTCTATCTCCTGTCACATGACACAAAGGAGCATTTTGTGCAGTTCCACCACCACCTTCAGACTAATAAAGACAATAAGAATTCTGGCCAAGTCTCCCTGACATCACCAATAATGGCTTAGATGGCTGGACCTCAAAGGGATCTTATTCCAGGCCCACAGTTTGATTTTTACTTGTGCTCTGTAGCATTTGAGTGAAGATGAACTTTATTTCCCACAGCAATTCCTCAGATTTAAAAAAAATTTTTTTGAAGGTTAAAATAGGAGGACACTTTAAAAGTTGAATTTTTACGGAGTGGATCCAGAGACACGGAAGCATGAAACAGATTGCAGAATCTCAGGAAGGCGGAGGAGGGTGGATGGATGGGAGTTAATCAACCAAAGACCTTGTATGCATATATGCATAACCCATGGACACAGAGAGTGGGGTGTTGGGGGCCTGGGGTGGGGGGGCAGGAGGCGGGGTGAATTGGAGGGGGTCGATGGGGGGGAAAAAGGGGGAATTTATGTAATACTTTCAACAATAAAGTTTTTTTAAAATAAATAAAAAAATAAAAGTTGGATTCTATAAGGCTGGTCCTATAACATTACAGGAAAGCAAAGTCTGAGGTAAATGGGGAAACTACAAATAAAAGTTTATAAATCTTCCTCACACAAGAAAATGCTTTTTTATACGTTTTTAGCCCTAAAGATATTGAGCCATCTCAAAATCACTTCCAGTCCAATACCCAAAATCAACTGATTCATAGGCATTCTGAGATGAGCACTATATAGTGTGGTACAAATATGATTCTTTCAAAAACATTTAGCAGCAATAAAGCTCACAAAGAAGCATTAAACCTTTGCCTCAAAATAAAAATCAGCTAATCTAAAAAGTTTAATGCATTATGTTTTCCACTTCTGATGGTTTTTTTCATTAGATTTTCATCAAAATTTGTAGGGGAACCCAAGTATGTGTGCCATGGACAAATACATGCAATATAGAGAGCATTAGGAAAAGGTGAGAAAGTCTTAACTCTGATTGGAAAGGTGAAAGAATTACTCAACTACAGAAGGACTAGTGTAAATTTGATTAATATAACCAAGGATCTAAAAAATCAATGAAGTTCAAAATTTTATGTAGAGCCACCTCTTAGGCAATGAAAGTTCTGAAGACAATCAATTCATTAAAAAATATTTCCTAGGCATCTAATATGCCTCTGCATAATGTTATGGAGATAGGAAAATGTGCCTGTGCCTCAGTGGTACTTCTGATCTAACTACAGAATAGAGCACTAAATCACAACGTTAGCAGGCTGAAGCAGAAAAGGCACCCACCCAAGAGTTGAAAGATTAGAGCTCTAGTCCCAACTTTGCCCGACTCACTAGATGTCTGCCCCTAAGCAAATCACTGAAACTTCTAAAGAACTCAATTTTCTTTTCTTTTTTTTTAATCATCACCCAAGGAGTGAGGATATGTTTTCCACTGATTTTTAGAGATAGTGGAAGGAAGGGGGCGGGGGAGAAAAAGAGAAACATCAATGTGATAGAGACACATCCATTGGTTGCCTCTTGGTTGCTCCTGCATGCTCCTCGACCTGGAGCAGGAATCAGACCTGCAACCCAGGTACGTGTCCTTGACAGGAGTCGAGCCTGCGACCCTCTGGTGCACAGGCCGACGCTCTAACCACTGAATCACCCTGGCCAGGGCTCACCTAGAAAATTGCTAAGGGCTCTTCCACTCTGGGTCTATTAAGCCAAGTAAAAGGACAAGGGAGAGGAAATGGGCCTTAGAACTGGAAGGATTTAAATTGACTGAGAAGAAAGGATATTCTAGGGAAGGAGCATGATGGTAAGAATGAACATACCTTGTACATTTTCACTTATATGAGATATCTGGAGTAGTCAAAATCATGGAAACTGAAGGTAAAAGAGTATGTGCCAGGAGCTGAGGGAAGGAGAAATAGGAAATTGTTCAATAGGTAGAAGTTTTCATTTTGCAAGATGACAAGTTCTTAGAGATCCTGTTACACACATGTAATATAGTTACGCCCACTGACCTGTCCACCTCCAAAAATGATTAAGAAAGTAAATTTAATGTTTTCTTATTCCACATTAAAAAAGAGAATCCACAGAATTAGTGTCCTAGAGTCCACACACTAACCGCAAAAACATTTCAAATCAACTTCTAGTTTCTAATCCTAATCTCTAAAATTCCTTTTTTCCCAATTAGAAAAGTGAACATGTACTGCTAGTGGGACATAGAGGCCTCCCCAACAATAAAGCTGAGGGAGCATGTTGAAAAAAATGAGGAAAGAGAAGACAATACAAATACTAAGCAATAGGAACAATACAAAGCAGGCTATTCAAACACAACCTAATTGTGTCATCTCCACAAGCAATCCAGCCTAAATCCATCAAGTAAAACCATATACATAGATGATAAAGAAAAACTCCTCAACCTGTTTCCAAGGCCCAGCACCCTCCGGCCCAACTCTCCAGCCCCCTCTCCCACCAGATTCTTCTACAGCTTCTTGCTCCATACATGGAGCTGTACTACAAGTCCCTAGTCCTCTTCGTGAACTGTGACATCACAGGTCTTTGCCCTTACTGTTTGCTCTGACTGGAACACTGCTTTCCTGTATATCCTTCAGATTTCAGTCCAACTGTCACTTCTGTGACTTCCCTAACTCAAATACTTGTCACAGTTTTATATTTGTGTGATTCTGTGATATCATCTGCTGAGGACAGGGACCATGTTTGCACTGTCCCCCTCATGTCCAAGCACAGTGCCTAGTACCAAGTAAGCACTCAATTGGTTGACTAAGTGAATAAATGGGCACTAAACCTATAAGGAATGAATAGGTCTCCTTAAGAGTGTGCATCTTCACAAAATGAATCTTTAGAGAATGCCCAAAAAAATTGAGCCTAAAGTCCCTATTCAACTCTTTAAAAAGAAAAACAAGCCCTAGCCAGTTTGGCTCAGTGGATAGAGCATTGGCCTGCAGACCAAAGGGTCCCAGGTTCAATTCTGGTTAAGGCACATACCTCAGTTGCAGGCTCCTCCCTGGCTCGGGCCCTGGTCAGGGCTTGTGCAGGAGGCAACCAGTCAATGTGTTTCTCTCACATCAATGTTTCTAACTCTGTCTTTCCCTGTCCCTTCCACTCTCTCTAAAAATCAAAGAAAAAATACCCTCAGGTGAGGATTTAAAAAATAATAATAAAATGAAGTAATTAATTTTAAAAAAAGAAAGAAAATAAGTCAACTCAGATTCATGTACAGGCATACCTCGGAGATGTTGCAGTGTCAATTCCAGACACCACAATAAAGTGAGTCACAATCTTTTTGCTGGTGGAGGGTCTTGCCTACCATTAGTAAAAAATGCAAAACCTGTGAAGCACAATAAAACAAAGCAAAACAAAACGAGGTATACCTGTATAAATTTCTCTAGCCCTTCTATGCCTCTAGGCCAGCCGTGGGCAAACTACGGCCCGCGGGCCGGATCCGGCCTGTTTGAAATGAATAAAACTAAATAAAAAAAAAGACCGTACCCTTTTATGTAATGATGTTTACTTTGAATTTATATTAGTTCACACAAACACTCCATCCATGCTTTTGTTCCGGCCCTCCGGTCCAGTTTAAGAACCCATTGTGGCCCTCGAGTCAAAAAGTTTGCCCACCCCTGCTCTAGGCAAATGCTGAGCATCCAAGGCAGATATTTTAAACACACAAACAAACATACATACACATGCAGGTACACACACACACATACACATACACATACACATACACATACACATATACATACACATACACATAAACCCCATAGGTAA